TATAAAACTGGAGAACCATATTTACTGAACAACTATAGACCAATCTCAATTCTTCCTGTACTCTCAAAACTTCTCGAACGAATAATTTATAATAAACTGTATATATATTTAACAAACAATAAAATCTTAAATAAAAAACAATTTGGATTTCAAAAACAACATGCAACCGAACATGCAATCATAGATCTTGTAAATAGCATCAACTACTCATTTGATAATAATGAATTCGTTCTAGGAATCTTTATAGTTCAATCGAAAACATTCGATACTGTTGATCGTCAAATCCTGCTCAAAAAAATGGAAAAATATGGCGTAAAAAAATATTGCATTACTCTGGTTTAAAAACTTTTTGGTAAACAGACAACAATGTGTTAATACTGATGAAAATATCTGTTCAAAAATGCTAAAGATCAAATGTGGCGTTCCCCAAGGTTCCATTTTAGCTCCCTTACTGTTTTTAATATACATTAATGATCTTCCGAAAACCTCAAACAAACTTGATGTCATAATTTTTGCAGATGATACTAATTTATTTTATTCCTCCCCGTCAATTACAGAACTTTTTGAAACAACAAATATTGAACTCAAAAAACTTAATATTTGGCTAAAATCTAATAAATTATCTTTAAACACAGAAAAAACTAATTACATCTTATTCCATTCAAATTAAAAAGAAAAAAACTACCAAATATACTGGCATTGCTAAGAATAAAAAACAAAAATACCGAAAGAACCACAACAACTAAATTTCTAGGTTTACTTATTGATGAAAATATTTCATGGAAAGCCCATACCTGACAATTTAAATACTAAAATAACCAAAAATATTGGCGTGCTATACAATGCTAGACCAATGTTATCCCAAGAAACTCTAAAACATCTTTATCTTTCATTTATACCTATTATACATATGGTAATATAGCATGATTTCATATATAATAATATAGCATTATTTCATTACATACCTATTATACATATGGTAATATAGCATGAGCCAGTACCCATAAATCTAATTTAAAATCACTTTATCAACATCAAAAACATGCCATTAGAATTGTCTATAAAAAAGATAAACTCACTCATGCTGAACATTTGTTTAAACTCCTAAATGCACTAAACGTCTATAGAATTAACATTTACCAAAACTCACTCTTCATTCTAAAATATAAATTCGGGCTTGTCCTACCACGTTTCTTAAATGAATTCTTTAAAAGCAATAAAAATAGATATGAAACTAAAGAAGTAGGAAACTTTAATGTACTGTTCAGAAAAACAAAACTGTCGCGTTTCACAATTTCATATCGCGGTCCCTATCTCTATAATAAACTGATATCCAAAAATGCCATAATTACAAAATTAGATAACATAAATTGTTTGAAAATCTTACTAAAAAAGTTCGTTTTAAATATCAACAATTATTTAAACTTACACTAAACTAAAACTGAAACTAAAACCAAAATTATAACTGAAAACAAAATCCCAAAAAACTTCAATAATATATATTAATATAAAAAATCAATATAAGTCAATAATAATTTTATTTATGCCTAATAATATATTTATGTGTATTATGTGTAATACAAACAGCATTTACCAACTTATTTATTTTTACATTTTATTATATGTGAACCCAATATAAAATGAAGTATTTTGTGAAACTGGATACATTGTAAAACGAAAATACAAAAAATATTACAAGTACAAGCGGTTTCTTGATGACAAGACCTGGTCTGGTGCAAGTTTCCCGCGTTCTTTTAATATTAATGATAACCTGCAATCATATTTTTTGTATTCTATAATATTGTGATATATTTTAAGTATTATATAATTTAAAAACATTATAACTTTGTACCAATCATGTAGAATCACAACATTGTAAAGATAAAAGAACAAAAAAATAAATAAAAAATAAAATATTCAATTTATATTTAATTTTTTTGTTTTTACAACTGAAACTCCGCAAATTGGTTATAAAATTGTGGATCGCAGCTTAGTATTTTTTGTCTCCGGTTAAATTCCTACTACTATTCATATTCCAAGATTGAGATGGCCCGTATTAATTAAAAATAACTTTTTATTTTAGATTTATTAAACACCCACTATACAAGTAAGGTAAATTAAGAGTTTCATACAAGATAAATATAAAAAGTCTTGGAAATTTTTTTTTTGTTTTGTTTCAACGTGATCATCTCGGAATATGTTTTTCAAGAATGTCCTTGAAGATAGTTCTCTGCACTTTTAAGTTCTAGTACTCAACTGCACATTTTAGAGATTGAAGATCCGTTTCAGGAATTAAGTTTTTGAGGCCGACAATTTTTTTTTTTTTACTTTCTATTATTGTTTCCAGATTTAGTTAAGTGAGGCAAAAGGGGAACTTTTTGTATCCCATGTAAAGCCTAGATGACTAAGTTTATCATGAAGTTTTATTTGTTGGTGGTTGAGAGTTATTGTGCAGTTTTTAATTTGCTTTTTTCCGGTGAGCAGGAACTCGGTTTTGTCAGCATTCAATTTTATGCAGTTTTTGTGTGTGTACATATTACATATATTAATAAGCTTTTGTAGGCCAGAGAGGGTGGAGCTAAGGAGTATAATGTCATCAGCATATGCTACAACACCCGTATAGTTTCCATTGATT